GCGGCTTACAAACTCCTTTCCCTTCCCCTCCCCACAACAGACACCCTGTGAGGTAGGTGGGGCTGAGAGAGCTCTGACAGAAGCAGCTCTTTTTCAAGGACAGCTCTTATCAGAACTATGGCTTGCCCAAGGTCATCCAGCAGATGCAAGTGGAGGAGTGGGGAATCAAATCCAGTTCTCCCAGATTAGAATCCGTGCACTTAACCACTACACCAAACTGGCTCAGAGAAACCGTATAACTGCTTGCAGTGCGGAAAGAGGTTCAGTCAGAAAAGAGCCCTTCCTTCACATCCAAAAAGTCACACAGCTGAGGAGCCATATAAATGGTCAGAGTCCAAATGAAGCATCTCTCATGGAGGCTTAATGTATCCTAGAATCATAGTGTCAGAAGGGACATCCATGGTCATCTAGTCTAACCCCCTGAACAATCCAGGAAATTCAAATACCTTCCCCCACATCCCCAGTGATCCTTGTTCCATGCCCAGTACTTTTTAACTGAATGTTATTGAACATTTCAGCATACAGGGGGAAGAAGCCACTGTAATATTTGGTTTGCAGCTGGAAATTCAGGTGCAGATCAGACCTGCCTGGGTTCTAACAGGATCTCTTTCTTTATTCCAGCAGGGAATGATGAGAGGAATGAGGAGGATGAGGAACTGCATACTCTATTGCCAGATGAAGTGAAGAAGGAAGACTTGAGAGGAAACTTCAGAAACCAAGTTGGACCTAAGAGGCAGAAAAGAAGCCACATCATCCAGAAGAGGGGTAAACCCATTCCTTGCCAAGGGGGGGATGTCCAAGAAGTAATTCACATAGTGAAGGAAACATACAAGTGCTTGGCTTGTGGAATGAACTTCTCAGATCAATTCCAATATAATGTCCATTTAGAAATGCACAGTGGAAGGAAGACCCATCAATGGATGGAGTGTGGAAAGACTATGATTCGAAAAGCAGAATGAATAGAGGAGAGAAAGAATATAGCTGTTTAGACAGTGGCAAGAAATTCTCAGAGAAATCAGACCTTGTTCGACACCAAAGGATTCATTTAGGAGGGAAAAAATTTATTTCCTCAGAGAGTGAAATGACGCTGTCAGTGGGTGGAAAAGCTAAAATGGTGATTCAAAAGTACAGTATAATGAATGCTTGTAAATGCTTTTGGTGTGGAGATTATTTCAGATACAGAGCACAGCTCCTTGTGCACCAAAGAATCCACAGAGGAGAGAAGCCTTTTGAATGCTCAGAGTGTGGGAAGACATTCCGTCTCAGTGGTCATCTTCAAGAACATTTAAGAACCCACACAGGGGAGAAGCCTTTTAAATGCTCAGAGTGTGGGAAGGGATTCAGTTGCAGTAGCCATCTTCATGCTCATCTAAGAACGCACACTGGGGAGAAGCCTTTTGAATGCTCAGACTGTGGGAAGAGATTCAGTCAGAGTAGCCATCTTCAGAAACATGTAAGAACCCACACAGGGGAGAAGCCTTTTGAATGCTCAGAGTGTGGGAAAAGATTCAGTCAGAGTAGCGGTCTTCAAGAACATCTAAGAACCCACACAGGAGAAAAGCCTTTTGAATGCTCGGAGTGTAGAAAGAGATTCTGTCAGAGTAGTGGTCTTCAAATACATCTAAGAACCCACACAGGGGACAAGCCTTTTGAATGCTCGGAGTGTAGAAAGAGTTTCTGTCAGAGTAGTGGTATTCAAATACATCTAAGAACCCATACAGGGGAAAAGCCATTTGAATGCTCAGTGTGTAGAAAGAGATTCTGTCAGAGTAGTGGTCTTCAAATACATCTAAGAACCCACACAGGGGACAAGCCTTTTGAATGCTCAGAGTGTAGAAAGAGATTCAGTGAGAATAGCAGTCTTCAAACTCATCTAAGAACCCATACAGGGGAGAAGCCTTTTGAATGCTCACAGTGTGGGAAGACATTCAGTCGTAGTGCCTATCTTCAAGAACATCTACGAACCCACACAGGGGAAAAGCCTTTTGAATGCTTGGAGTGTAGAAAGAGATTCTGTCAGAGAAGCGCTCTTCAAATGCATCTAAGAACCCACACAGGGGAGAAGCCGTTTGAATGCTCAGACTGTGGGAAGAGATTCAGTCACAGTAGCACTCTTCAAAAACATCTAAGAACCCACACAGGGGAGAAGCCTTTTGAATGCTCAGACTGTGGGAAGAGATTCAGTCACAGTAGCACTCTTCAAAAACATCTAAGAACCCACACAGGGGAGAAGCCTTTTGAATGCTCACAATGTGGGAAGACATTCAGTCGCGGTGGCCATCTTCAAGAACATCTAAGAACCCACACAGGGGAGAAGCCTTTTGAATGCTCAGAGTGTGGGAAGAGATTCAGCCACAGTAGCGCTCTTCAAAATCATCTAAGAACCCACACGGGAGAAGCCTTTTTGAATGCTCAGAGTTTGGAAAAAGATTCAATCAGAGTGGCTTTCTTCAAGACCATGAAAGAAACCACACTATGTAACTGCTGAGCTCAGAGATGTCGAACTCATTTGTTACGACTGTCTTATCTGACATAAATGTCACTTTGTTGGTCCGGGCCATGAGTCGGATAAAATGTAATGCCAGATATCGGAGATATAAACTTCAGAAAGTCACAGGAAATCCAATTTAAAATATTACTTTCTAGTCAAAATACAAACATTCTTAAAACATTTCCTATATTTAAGGGTCTTTAATAACTGACACCTCTTGCTCTGAATCATTGCATCAAAATCTGGAGTCAGTGTCTGTGCACTAGTATGCTGTTTAGCTGTGTATCTGTAAGCTGAGAGCGTACTTTTGATTCATAGGCATTTATTACAATAAAAAGCTATTCATAGACTGGAGAAATGCATTGCCTCCTGGAGAGATGGCAAGCAGACTTTAAACATTTCTTTCTCTGAGACAAATGGGGGGGAGCAAATTAACCCATGGCTCCCAGGATGCACCTGTATGCCCAGGATACACCTGTGTGACCTGGGCGGAGCAGGTCAAAAGGGATGGAGTGATGGAGAAAGGGTGGAGCCAGAGGTTTAAAAAATTCTTACTCCCAGGGGGTAGACTCTATGGGTGCTGATCTTTGAAAGAGACAACCAAACCAAGGAGATAATAATAAAGAATTAAAAAAACCAAAAAACTGTGTATGGAATATGAATCATGCAATAATTACTATAGAACTATAACAAAATGTACATACATTCAAACAATCAGCATACATAACGAAGAAATCCCTATCTTCCACCTCGTTTTTAGAACAATATCTCCATACAAACAAGCAATACTGCACAAAGAAGAAATTTATTGGTGATACTTGTATAATGAATATTCCACAAACGTTTCCAGAGGAGGAAAAAACTTTAATTGTAGTCCTCTTTTAAGTTCTTCACAAAAGGCAGGTCCCATCAATGGAGAATGAAGGAGGCAGGTTCCAACAATGCTTCACATGTTTGCTAGCTAAAGGGTTCCCACATATCGCTGGTGCTTTTTCAAAAGAAGAACCTATAATCACTGAATCAAAAATACGAGCATCAAAATTAAAAAACCAGGACAAGAAGGGTTGCTGATCTTCCGGTATGGCGCATCGACGGGCGGGTGGGAGCTTGGCTTGCTCCGTCACTGCCCGAACTGTTTTTGCTGCATTCAAGCCTCCCACATGTCGGGAGAGCTCGACCAGCTCCCTGGTGGTGGAGGCTTGAGCAGGGGGCGTCTTTTTGGCCCTCCCCCACAATCAGCAGGGCAGGGTGAGTGTGTCCAGAACAGCCCCGAAGCCGAAGCGAGCAACAGGAGAACATGGCTGCCATGTTCAATTAGACGTGACCATCTGTTTTTATTCCTCAAACGTTTAAAAGGATTATAAACGCAGCAGCACAGCAACATAGAAGCAGAGAAAAGAATCTTGAGAGGGTTGGATGAGAAGATATTTCCCCAAAATAACTGTGTCTTAAACGGAAAGGGAAAACGGCCGTCAAGCAAATGGACTTAATTGTAAGCCTTTCATAGTATTTTCTTCGGGGGGGATGAGAGCTTCGTGAATCGTGCTGGTTCGGTCAAGCGGTTAAGAGAAAAGTAAGGGGACTAAAGATTCAGAGACTGTAAAATAAAGAGATAGTACTGGGACCTTGTAGGATAAGAACTGGAAATATGGCTGTAATGGAGTATATAGTGGGAGAAGAGGAGGAGTCAGAGGAAAACATGGAAGCTGAGCAAATGACCATGGAACAATTCTTAAAAGCTTTGAGGGAAGCAGTCCAAGAAGCAATTCAGAGTGGTTGTGAACAGGCGCGCAAAGAAATACTGGGAAAGTTACATAAGACAGAAAATGAAATAGGAGAAGAAGACCAGGAACAAAACAATGTTAAGGAGGCTTTTGAGGAAGACCAAAAGGAGAAGAGAGAGAGTGATAAAGAAGAAAATTTTGGTGAAATTCAGGTGGTGGACTGTGTGGAAATAAAATGTCTATCAATGGAAAAGACAAAGGAGAGACCAAGCAAAAAACCAACTAGAGCCAAGCTAAGACAGAGGAAAGGACTGCAAAAAAGAAGTAAACAGAGGTCCGAAACTGGAAATAGGAGAGAGGGAAGGATCAAGAGAAGCAAGGAACGGAAATGGGAAAGTAAAAGAGACACTAAGCTAGGGAAAAAGGAAGGTTGGGAAGAAGGACGAGATCTGGAGGTCAAGGGAGCTACAAAGAATGAAGTCACCAAGAAGGGATGAGGCAGAGGAAGAGAAAGCAGATGCAAAAGGAAAAAAATAAATTATATAAAAACGGGGAAATTAGACTTCTTCAGAATAACTGGGATACGACCTAAAAATTATTTTATTTACTTCTTGAATTATAGGTGGAGGTGTCTATTTAGTTATATTTCTATTTAGTGTTATCAGTTGTGATTATTTTATAATGGGATGGTGGAAAAGGGTAAATTAAATTTAATTTGTCGGGAATTAAGGGAAAATCAAGATGGAATATGAATTAAAGGGGATAAAAACGGGATAGGATTAAAAATCTTATTTTCTTTTTTGTTTTTTATAATGAATTTAGAATAATGCTATAGGGAAGTTGAAATGAATTTAAAGGCTTTGTATAAATAGTAATGGTTTTCTTTTGTGTTATAAAAATTGGTGGAAAGGGTTAGATAGTTGAAAAATTATATTTGATGAATTTAATAGGTTTTGAATGGTTTGGAAGATTAGATTTGAAAGCAAGGTAAATAGGGTAAAAACTCATGATTTATAGGTCTGTCTAAGATAAATAGTAAACTGATTAATCCCTGATGGGAAATAGTAAAAATAATGATGGTGGCATAGATCGTGTAGCGATGTTTAGAGATATGAGATAGGAGGAGGACTGTGGTTGTGTTATGAGTAAGCGGTATACTAGGGCGGTGGTTATGATGGAGTTAGATAAGTTTTGCTAAAACAAGGCTAAGAATGTAGTCTAAAGGATAAAGAATGTAATTGAAATGAAGTAAAGTAAATTTGGAGTAGGAATGTCATATACAAATATTAATAAAGTGTGAAGTTAAGGGTAACAAGAGAACAAGAGAATATGGAAAAATATATATATATTTATATATAAACAACATATGTTCCTATATTGTTTGAAAGAACCAACAGGATGTAGTAGGAGGGGCTAGGATTGATTAAGGAGAACATAACTTAACAATAAGTTAAAATTATGTTGCACATCACTGAATGAAATGATATTAATTATTAGTATGACAGTATGAGGATCATTAAGGTGAAAGAATTAGAGGTCTTTATTCAATGCTGTTATATAGGTAAGATAGTAAGATCAAGATTAAGAGTATAATGTTGTATATGATGGGCAATTGATAAGCTGTCCTGTGTTGTAGTGTTGGTGAAGTGAGGTATGGGAAGCTTGAATGTAATCTTGCTGTTGAAGTGATATGTAATTGCAATATAGGTGTGTAATGTAAAAACCCAATAAATATACTTTTAAAAAAAAATTAAAAACCAGGTGAAACAAGCTTTTTTGACATGGAGAATTAAAGTCGTGATTTCTCACCACATTTAAGAATCTCATTTCATCTCATGTTGACTACATAGCTGTTCAAAGTAGAATGTGTGTAATATTTCAGTTGGAGCGACTTTCTAATTTAAAAGAGCAAGTGCCCAAAATTTAAAGTGAACCTAGTTCAAAACATTTTTTAACCAAATGCTTCTATAACTACTTATAACAACAGTGTTTCATCTGGCTGTATTTCAGAACCACCAATCACAAGAAACAGCTATAATCAATACTTTGATTTAAACCATGGGGAGACAAAGTTTGAAAATCATAAATCATTTTGGCTTCCTGTTGTAATAAGACTTTTGCTGCATCAACCTCATTCTATGTATGTCCTCGAAAAATGTACAATATAAAAAATCGGAAGGAATCAGGTTCATAATTGGGCCTAATAAAATGATTCATGAGTGGTGCTTTTAAATTTTGATTTTGAATGCGGGACCGGAGTTCTAAGATTTTTGACTTCATGGGTCTGATGGTACTCCTAATGTACAATAAATTGCAGTCACATAAAATCCCATATATACATTTCTTAGAATTAGAGTTCAAAAATGATGACAAGGAATACTTAAACCCCAAGGTTGGGTGTAAAGGTTCCCTTGCTCGAAATCCAGTCAAATCCGACTCTAGGGTTTCGGTGCTCATCTCCATTTCAAAGCCGAAGAGCCAGCGCTGTCCGAAGATGTTTTTATGGTCATGTGGCTGGCATGACTAGACACCAAGGCGCACGGAACGCTGTTACCTTCCCACTGAAGTGGTACCTATTTATCTACTAGCAATTTCTCGCTTTCGAACTGCTAGGTTGGCAGGAGAGGTTGGGTGTACAAATTCCTTAATCTCCAGGGACATTGGACATGTGGCACAAGAGTAAGATTTGAAATGGCCTCTAGGTAATTTTGACACCTCATCTCATCATTTAAAATCAGATCTCATAAGAATTTCTCTTAAATTCCTTGTTCTCTTAAAACCAATCATGGGTGGCTGTTGGCACCCCGGGATATCTTCAGCCACATACTAATACCGTTCTGTTATTTTTTAAATACCATAAGTGTGACTCAAATATTCCAAGGAACAAATATTACATTCCTGTCTTTTTAATGCCACATCAGACTTTTTGGTCAAGGTGTCCTGTCTAATTGCCACAGCGGCTCTATTTCTTGCTGCCTGGATAATCCATGTGGGATAACCTCTTTGTTTAAATTGTTCTCCCAACCTTTCACTATCATTGCAGAAATCATGTGTGAAGGTAGAATTTCTTTTCAAACATAAAAATTGGGCATAAGGAATGTTATTTTTTATATGTGCTGGGTGGATGGCGGCACTCTGAGCAGTCGCATCTCCTGAACCTCCCGGGGATGCAAACTGCGCACGAGCAGGAAAGAGGGGGTACGCAGACTCATTGCCCCCCAAGAGGCCCGGCGAAGGGCTTCTAGCCATGGGGCTTTTGAGAGGTCACCTCTTCGCCAGTACGATGCTGGAGAATTGAGGTGCCTCTCCGCCCCAATGGTCCCTCCTACGAGTGTCCGTATGGAATCTAGTGACGCTGACCAGGACAAGCGCTGAGGATCAAACGGTCGAATCAGAGACTAAGCGAGGTTGGAAGACCAATATGAACGTGAGTCAGAATAAAGCGTCTATGACAATTTAAAAAGAAAGCTCCCCACCCCACGGACCGAGAAGTGAAACGAGCGGGGGGGGGTTCTTCCCATGTGTACAAACTTTTAAGCGAAAAAATGGGGGGGGGGAGCGGAAGCGAAAGCGTTGAAATCTGTTGAGAAAGACTTAGCAAGGTGTGTATAAGCGTTTGAGTGCACATTCAGAGACTTTAGAAACTGGCGAAAGTAAACAATCGATAAAAGATGGCGGGGAAGAGGACGGAGAAGGAGAAACTTGTAAAAGCGAAAGGGGAGAGCCCAAGACTGGAAGGAACCACCGAGTTGGCTAAAATGAATCTCTGTGCCCCCTGCTGGAACAGATGACTCACGTCAAGGAACAGTTGTCTACAATGACCAAATATATCACCACCCAGCAATTACAAGTGAATGAGACTCTTAAAATCACAGAACAAACAGCTGAGGAGGTGAAAGAAGTTGACGCCACTACCCAAAAGGTGAAGAAAAAGGTACAAAAATTGGAAAAGAAGCAAGCCTCTTCAGAAGAACAACTTTTACAGCTGCAAATGGAGAAGGCAAACTTGGTTCTCCGATTCCAGGGTGTCCCAGAATCTAAAGGAGAGAATCTGAACCAAATGCTGAGTGAAGCATTAGCCCCGATGACAGATTTGATGGTGGAGTACTTGATGAGCGAAATGGATGTGGCCTATAGGTCATGTTCCGTATATATAAAAAAGAATAATCTGCCTGGGGACATAGTAATGAGATTCTCAAAGAGACATGTGATGGATACTATCCTGAGAGCAATGACGGGGACAACCTTGAAAATCGGGGACAGCACCATAAGGATCCTTAAAGAAATCCCATTTGAAATAAGACAAAGGAGAAGGAAATACAAAGATTTAATCCTTTTTCTTCAAACAAACACAATTAACTATCAGTGTCTGTACCCAGAGGGCGTAACCTTCAAACTTCAAGATAAAAAGGAAAAGATAGACTCTGTTTCTGAAACACGGGACTTTTTGAAAATCCAGATGGGTGAGCAAGAGAAAGGCGATAGAGGACAGTAAGTCCAGTGGTGAGCTGGACTCGGGGTCTTCGGGAGAGGACTCTCTGTCAGAGAAGGGAGAAGTGGCTCCTAAAAGTCCTTATAAACTGCAAAGAAGAAAGGATAAGAAGAAATGAAGGCTGAAGGACTCTGTATTGTGCCTTTGAAAAGGGTTGATTGTAATGAGATGCTTTGGGGGTTTTCTTTTCTTTTTAACAGTTAATTCAAGATTCAAAAGTTGTAATAGTAGACCTGACTAAGTTCAAAAATTATTAGCGAGTTTAGAACTGACTTTGTACTTAAGAGATGTTGAGGATCTCCTCTCTTGGGATTTTAGATAGTAGTGGGTTTTCTTTTCTTTGTCCCTAATTGTAGTTCCCTCCCCTTATTTTCGTTGTAGATTTGTGGAACTGCCCCCTTGTTAGAAGGACAATCAAAAACCAAAACAAACAGGAGTAAAGGGAAAAGTCCTATGCTGCAAAAAAAAAAAATACTGTAAAAGTTTTCCATAAGATCCAGCTGGTACCTTCCCGCCCTCAATTTATAATCACTATTGTGAATCCTATCCTCTGCTGCCAACAGGAACAGCTCCCTGCCCTCCTCTAAATGACAGCCCTTCAAATACTTAAAAGAGAGTAATGATGTCCCCCCTGAACTTCCTCTTCTTCAGACTGATCATTACCCAAGTCCCTTGGCTTTTCCGCATAGGGCTTGGTCTCCAGGCCCCGAGCATCCTCTTCACTCTCCTCTGCATTCTGTCCACATCCTTTCTGAACTGAAGCCTCCAGAACTGCAAACAATACTCCAGGTGCAGCCTGACCAATGCAATGCACAATGAGATTATGACATCTTGGTATCTGGATGTTATGCCTCTGTTAATACAGCCCAAAATAACATTAGCCTTTTTTGTTGCTGCATCACACTGGCTGCTCACAATTAACTTATGGTCCACTCATACACCAAGATCTTGTTCACATACCCTGCTACTCAGAAGTGTATCCCTCATCCAGCATGCATGTTCCTCATGCTTGTTACCCAGATGTAGAACTCAGCACTTATCCTTCTTAAACTGCATCTTGTTCATGTCTGCCCACTTTTCCAGCATGTTCAAATTCTATTGAATTCTATATCTTCTGGTGTGCTGGTCCTCCCAATTTGGTGTCATCTGCAAATTTAAGGAGTATCCCCTCCACACCCTCATCCAGATCATTTATAAAAATATTGAAAAGTACTGGGTGTCAGACTCTTGGATAAACTTACTCCCAACAACATTCTCTTGGCAGTGATTCATTTATTGAGACATAAAGATGTGTCAAGCTAAGACGATCTGTGTCACAACTGACTCTGGGTGCCAATTCTGATATTATACACAATTCAGATGTGATTGGGTAACCCACCCAATCACAACCACTCATCCAGCCCACCAGAATCTACCGCATCCCGTGAGCCCTCCCCCCAGCACCTGGAAGCAAAGTGTTACATTATCTTGCAGTGTCTGGCACCCAAGGTCAAACCAAGCATTCTTCCCCAGTGAAGGGAGGCCCTTTTGTAGATGCCATTACAAGCTAGCAAGCGCTACTCCCAGCCAAGCAGTCCACTCTGCACTCACACCTTCACACACTCAACCCCCTCCCAACCAGTATGAAGAGCAATAGGCAAGAAACCAAAGACAGTGCAGGAAAACATGGCAAATGAGATTCGAGTTTGACATTCTCCCCCCCCAAAAGCTCCTCATTCCCCAGGTTTATTGGGGTATGCTTTGTGGAAAGCTTTAACCAGCCTGGGGGGCTCTGATGTGGTCCTTCCGTGCCCACTGATTGTGGCTGGGGTCAAAGTCCTGCCACTTAACAAGATAGTAGAGGTGGCCATGTTGCAGTTTAGAGTCTAAATCTGGAGGGGGAGCTGGAGGTCGAGGTCTCCATTTTGAGGGTTAAGGGTCCTTCTTCAACAGACGGAAATGAAAAACAGGGTGAATAGGTCAAAAGTTCTTAGGCAAGTCCAGCTCCACAGCCACTCTGTTAATAACTCTCAGCACTTTAAAAGGTCCAATATATTTCCAGCCCAGTTTTCTCCCCGGTTGCACCCCCTCAGGTCTTTAGTCTCCAGGGTTAATGTCCCACTCCAGGGTTAATGTCCCACTCAGGTGCCATTCCTTTATCTGCCTGGGCTTTGTAATCCTCCTTGGCTTTTGCTAGGGTACACCAAATCAAAGTCCATTGCTGAGTCAGCTCCGACCACCATGCCTGTAAATCTCCCTGCCCTGTGGGCTCCCAGTTGTAGGGATGGAGGCCCCCTCATACTCATGCACCACTTTGAAAGGGGTAGCCCCATGGAACTATGGACAGAGTTATTATAACTGTATTCTGCGTATGGGAGCAAGTCCAGTCAGTTGTCCTGTTGATAGTTATTAAAGCATCTAAGGAACTATTCTAATGCTTGATTAGTCCTTTCAGTCTGGCCATCAGTTTCTGGGTGTTAAGTGCTACTAAGCCCTTGTTCTATTCCCAGGAGTGTGAGCAATTCCTTCCCAAAAGTCTGCTACGAACTGGGGCCCCCAGTCCGAGATTATTTTACTCGGCACTGAATGCCGTCTTACCACATGATGCATTAACAATTGTGCAAGCTTCTTGGTGGAGGGTAATTGCTTACAGGGGATGAAGTGGGCTTGCTTAGAGAACAGATCAACGGCCACCCAAACCACTGTCCTCCCCTTGCTGGGGGGTAGCTCTGTTATGAAGTTCATAGAAATGACTGCCCAGGACCGGTCGGGGGTTTCTAGAGGTTGCAACAGTCTGGGAGGTTTTCTGACCCTCCGTTTCCCCATTAGGCACACCTGGCAGGAGGTGACACATTGTGATATGTCAACCCACATGCGTGGCCCCCAGAACTGCCTCTGAACGAGGTGTAAAGTCTTTAAATACCCGTAGTGCCCAGCCAGTTTGTTGTCATGCTCCATTGAAATAATTTCTCCCTGTAGGGAACGTGGCACGAGCAATCTGTGTTGTCAATACCAGCATCTGTCATCCCCACCCGCACCAAGGTGCCCTCTTTGTCTATGTCCCCCTTGTCCACTTCAGTGAAAGCCACTTGAATTTCTCCTCCCACGGCTTGGAGCTGAGGAGCTCCCCCTCCTTTGCGTGACTGTCCATAAGCACCACCCCTCCCAATTGGGTGGGGGTAAACACAGAGTCAATGACTTCCTCCCATTGACTGGCATGCTGTAGGAGACGTGAGAGGGTGTTGGCAAGAAAGTTCAGTTTCCCTGGGAGGTGCTTAAGGGTGAATTGAAACTTTGAGGGAAAACTCCGCCCAGTGCAATTGTTTGACGTTGAGGGGCTGGGGGGCAGGCAATGCCTCCAGGTACCCTACCCCTTCAAACCAATGTCTCCCAAGTCGTGAGGGCCAGTTTGATGGCAGCAGCATCTTTGTCCCAAACTGCCCAATTTCTCTCTGTCTCAGAACTTCTGAGACATGTAAGCAAGGGAGTACAGCTTCTGTTCTCCCCCCCATTGCGAGATTGCCCCCCCCCATGAGTCTGATGTGTCTACTTGTACTACAAACAACTTATTTTCATCCGGGTGGCTTAAAATGGGTTCTGATGTGAACAAGGCTTTTGGTCAGTGAAAAGCTTGTTGGCATTCCAGAGTTCATTGCAATTTACTGCCCAGCTTATTTGAGTCTGGCCCCTTCCCTTTCGTTTTCAGCAAGTCCGTGGGGGCAGAGCGATTTGGGCAAAATTGGGTATGAATGACTGTAGAAATTAGCAAACCCCAAGAACGCTTGCAGTTCCCTCCTCATCCAAGGGGGGGGTGTGGAGTATACATCTTGAACCTTGTGGTGATCCATACCCATCCCCTTCCTGGAAATCCGATTTGTTTATTGAGAAGTAAAGATGTGCCCAGCTAAGATGATCTGTGTCAGAACCAATGTTCCCTCTAAGGTGTGGAGTCTTGTGAGCAAACATTCTACTTTTTGAGCTACTGGCATTAAAGTGGTGAGCGAGCGATTTGGCTGCTGCATACATTAGTTTGCTCTGGAGCCGTTTTTCCTGAGCCAAGGCAAAAATGTGTGAGCCAGAGGCTAAAAAACAGTGAGCTAGCTCACACTAACTCAGCTTAGCAGGAACCCTGGTCAGAACTGACTCTCTGGGCGCCAATTCTGATATTATACACAATTCAAATGCCCCCTTCCCAGGTAACCCGCCCAATCACAACCACTCATCCAGCCCATCAGAATCTACCGTATCCTGTAAGCCTTCCCCCCATGCACCTGGAAGCAAAGCATTACATTATCTTGCAGTGTCTGGCACCCAAGGTCAAACCAAGCATTCATCCCCAGTGAAGGGAGGCCCTTTCGTAGACACCGTTACAAGCTAGAAAGTGCTACTCCCAGCCAAGCCTTATGCACTCACACCTCCACAAGCTCCCAACCAGCATGAACAGAGCAATAGGCAAGAAACCAGACAGTGCTGGAAAACATGACGAGACTTGAGTTTGACACTGGGCCCAGAACTGAACTCTGTGGCACCCCACTGGACACCTCCCCCCATTCAGATGAAATGCCATTGAAAACTACTCTTTGAGTGCAGCTCTCCAAACAATTCCTTATCCACCTAACTATCCTAGTCCAGTCCACAGTCGTCTAGTTTACCCATCAGAACATCATGGGAAACCCTGTAACAAGCTTTACTGAAATCCAGTAATAAGGAGTCTTTTGCAGTTGGCTGAATAAGATATCAGTGATGCCTCTCTGCACAGAAGGAAGCCCCTTATACCAGGAGAGGGTAGTTGACAGTAAGTTTTTGGAGAGGTTCTACATTATCACCAATATCTAATATGGCACAACTCTGTTAGATTGAGCATAGAATAGATAGCTGTGTTGAACTGTCAAGTTCATCAGAGCAGTGACTGCCATAAATTCTGCAGAAGCAAAACTAGGACCCTTGTCTGTTTAAACCGTGTCAGAGCTCAGGTGGGGTGTCACCTGACGCTGCCACCACTCTGGATTTAGGTTCCCTTGAGAAGGCCCAGAGCACCCTCCCAAGACCTTCAGACTTTCCTTTAGGCCAAATAACAGGCGTGAGGACCAGGCAGAGTAAAACAAGGAAAAGGTTTATTTTATAGGAGGTCAAATAACAAGGTGCAGAATAATAACAGTAAGTGGGTGAAAAGAAATCAAATGCCCTAATGCGTCTAAATATACTTTCCCTAGCTCACTGTCTCAAGTAGCCTTACACTACTCACCCCTCCCTCAGGATGAGGGTTTTTCCCCTGCAGCAGCCTTCCTTCTGGCTCTGCCCTCTGGAAGAAAGAACAGCTCTTCCTGCTGCTCCAGAACTTTTATTCCCAGCCCTCCTCTTTTCCTATTGGTCCATTTTGGCTCCAAAACCTCCCAGGGGCTTCTGGGAGTTGTAGGCCCAGCCTCACCTACTGCTAGCCAGGCTCCTTGGGCCTAGTAGGCCTCTACTGGCACAGCCCAAATCATGACAGACCGTCTGCTGTGCGTGAATACTGATACAAGGCATTAAAGCTATGGGTTAACAAAGCCTTGCAATTCTCAGTGACTCTGCAAAAGGTGTAAAGTATCCGGAGGGTATTGTGCCTTTCAGTTGGGATTCTTTGGACCACTTCAGCCCCTGAAGTTTTGGAGAACTGTTAAAGTGGGTGGAGTTTCTTGTTCTTGTTATTTGTGTCCTGGAACAATAAAAGTAGTTATGCTTCAGGCCTTCTGAGCTTCATTTTCTGACTCCCTCTATTGTGACTGCCTCGATTTAGTGTAATGGTAAAAGGCAGATTCTAATCTTGAGAACCGTGTTTGATTCCCCACTCCTCCACCAGGGTACTAGAAGCCCTCCCACTGTTGCCTCCCCGAAAGCACCAAGAATACAGAGCATCACTTGCCTCAGACAGAGAATTCCTATCTATGCCTTGTGGCTAATAGCCACTGATGGACCTCTGCTCCATATGTTTATCCAGTTCCCTCTTGAAGCCGTCCATGCTTGTAGCCGCCGCCACCTCCTGTGGCAGTGAATTCTATGTGTTAATCACTCTTTGCGTGAACAAGTACTTCCTTCTATCCATTTTAACGTGACTGCTCAGCAATTTCATGGAGTGCCCACGAGATCTTGTGTTGTAAGAAAGGGAGAAAAGTACTTCTTTCTCTACCTGCTCTATTCCATGCATAATCTTGAAAACTTCTATCATGTCCAGTGTTCCCTCTAAGCTGAGTTAGTGTGAGCTAGCTCACATTTTTTTAGCCTCCGGCTCACAGATTTTTACTTTAGCTCAGGAATGATGGCTCCAGAGCAAACTAATTTATGCAGTAGCCAAATCACTTGCTCACAACTTTAATGCCAGTAGCTCACAAAGTAGAATTTTTGCTTACAAGATTCCAAAGCTTAGAGGAAACATTGATCATGTCACCCCTCAGTCATTGTTTCTCCAAGCTAAAGAGCCCCAAGTGCTGTAACCTTTCTTCATAGGGAAAGTGTTCCAGCCCTTTTATCATTCTAGTTGCCTTTTCTGCACTTTTTCTAATGCTACAATATTCTTCCTGAGGTGTGGTGACCAGAATTGCACACAGTATTCCAAATGAGGTCGCACCATCGATTTATACAATGGCATTATGATACTGGCTGATCTGCTACCAATTCCCTTCCTAATAATCCCCAGCATAACGTTCACCTTCTTTATTGCAGTCTCACACTGTCACGACATTTTCAGTGATTTATCTACTACGACTCCAAGATCTCCCTCTTGGTCAGTCTCGGCCAGTTTGGACCCATTCAATGTGTATTTATAGTTAGGATTTCGGACCTCAATGTGCATCACTTTGCACTTGGCCACACTGACCCCCCCCCACATGCCAAGTTGATGCCCACTCACCCATCCTTGACAGATCCCATTGGAGTGCCTCACAATCCTCCCTGCTTCTCATCACCCTGAACAATTTAGTGTCATCCACAAATTCAGTCACTTCACTGCTTACCCCCTATTCCAAATCACTAATGAACAAGTTAAAAAGCATCGGACCCTGCAGTACCCCACTGCTTACCACCCTCCACTGAGAAAATTGCCCATGTATACACACTCTCTGTTTCCTATTAATTAGCCAGTTTTTGATCCACAATAGGACTTGTCCTTTTATGCCATTCAAACGGCTTCTCCCCCATGTGGGTTCTTTGATGTCTTTGAAGAGAGTCACTGCGACTGAATCTCTTCCCACACTCTGAGCATTCAAAAGGCTTCTCCCCCGTGTGGGTTCTTTGATGTTTTTGAAGAGTGTCACTGCGACTGAATCTCTTCCCACATTCTGAGCATTCAAAAGGCTTCTCCCCTGTGTGGGTTCTAACATGATGCTGAAGATGGCTACTCTGACTGAACCTCTTCCCACACTCTGAGCATTCAAAAGGCTTCTCCCCTGTGTGGGTTCTTACATGTTCTTGAAGACTGCCACTGCGACTAAATCTCTTCCCACACTCAGAGCATTCAAAAGGCTTCTCTCCTGTATGGGTTCTTAGATGTTTTTGAAAAGTGCCACTGTGACTGAATATCTTCCCACACTCTGAGCATTCAAAACACTTCTCCCCTGTGTGGGTTCTTCGATGTTGTTGAAGAGTGCTATTGTTACTGAATCTCTTCCCACACTCTGAGCATTCAAAAGGCTTCTCCCCTGTGTGGGTTCTTAGATGAGTTTGAAGATGGCCACTGCGACTGAATCTCTTCTGACACTCTGAGCATTCAAAAGGCTTCTCCCCTGTGTGGGTTTTTAGATGACAATGAAGATGGCCACTGCAACGGAATCTCTTCCCACACTCCAAGCATTCAAAAGGCTTCTCCCCTGTGTGGGTTCTTAGATGTTCTTGAAGGGTGCCACTGCGACTGAATCTCTTTCGACACTCTGAGCATTCAAAAGGCTTTTCCCCTGTATGGGTTCTTAGATGTTTTTGAAGACTGCTACTCTCACTGAAACTCTTCCAACACTCTGAGCATTCAAAAGGTTTCTCCCCTGTGTGGGTTCTTAGATGAGTTTGAAGATGGCCACTGCGACTGAATCTCTTCCCACACTCTGAGCATTCAAAAGGCTTCTCCCATTTGTGGATTCTTTGGTGCACAAGGAGCTGTGATTTGTATTTGAAGTAGTTTCCACACCAAAAGCATTTACATGCATTCATTATACTGTGCTTTGAAAAATGTATATTACCTCTGCCTCCCACAGAGAACGTCATTCCAGTCTCTGAGCAAATAAATAGCTTCCCTCCTGAATGAATCCTTTTGTGTCGAACAAGGTCTGATTTCTCTGAGAATCTCTTGCCACAGTCTGAGCAGCTATAAGGTTTCTCTTCTCTATGTGTTCTTTGACGTCTACGGAGCTCTGCTCTGTGAATCATGGTCTTCCCACACTCTAGCCACTGATAGTGCCTCTTTCTATTGTGGATTCGTAAATGGACTTTATACTGGCATTGATCTAAGAAGTTCATACCACACGCCAAGCATTTGTACGCTTTCTTCACCGTGTGAATTACTTCTTGGAAATCCCTCCCTTGGCAAGGAATGGGTTTACCCCTCTTCTGAACAATGTGGCTTGTTCTTTGCCTCTTAGGTCCAGCTTTGTTTCTGAAATTTCCTCTCAAGCCTTCATTCTTGACTTCATCTGGTGATAGAGGATGCAGTTCCTCATCATCTTCATTCCTCTCATCACCTCCAGCTGGAATAAAGAAAGAGATCCTGTTAGAACCCACACATGGAGGTCTGATCTGCACCTGAATTTCCATCCACAATCGAGATATTACAGTGTCTTCTTCCCACTGTAAGCTGAAGAGTACAATAACATAAACTTATACTGTTTCTCTCCTAAGAGAACCTGCGTCTGCAGAATGATGTTCATTCTCTGACTGAAGGTCTTTGCAAAGGCCACACTTTCATTTTCCCGAGAGTGGATTTTCTGGTTAGGATGGAGGCCTTTGTTTCTTGTTTTGACTGACCTTTCTTCTTGGACTAGGATTTCACAGAAACCCCCTCCTCAACAAGGAATTATCCCTACTCTTACCTGAGTGGCTTCCCTCCTGCCTCTGTGGTCCATCTCCGAAGTTTCCTTTGGCATCTTCATTCTTGACTTTCTCCAAAGAGAACCCCTGGAATTCCCCAGCTGTCTCCTCTACATCTGCTCCTGGAAGAAAGAAAGAGTTTCAATCATCACCCAGGCAAGAAGCCAATGCAGCAGTCAGGCACTGCTCAGGAATGGGTGGGCATCACTTTTATCAGATCATCTTTCCTCCCAAACTGAAACGCTGGTCACACCTTATCCCCGCCAGGCCCTCCCCGTAGAGCTGTTTTTACATTCTGTCTGTCCCTCCCCTCCCCAAACTCGCCGTATGTATTTTAAGGGGGAAAGTGGCAAGATATTCCCCCACTGCTCCCATTTGACTTGTGCTTTTTGAATTTGATTCTCTGCACTTGACAATTAAATACAAGAGGTTACAGGGCTGACAGTTTCAGTGGGATTCTCTTCATTAACACATGGTCCCGCTCTCTTGGGGCGAGGATTGATTCCCGTCACCACAACAGAGGGTGCTGTGTGATTTGGCATAAGCCACTTGCCCTTGGGTGGCAGTGTTAACTGGTGGGACTACCCCCTGCAGGCCACCTCTGCAAGGTAGAACAGCTCCAAAGAAAGCACTCAAACCTATTTTCACTGAATAAAAAGGCCTGAAGGCATCCAGGGGACCCCTGTCGGAATGGTTAGATGTGCCTTTGGCCTCATTCAGCAAGGTTGTTTTGGGGAGACGGGAGGCATCTACAGCGCTTTCTCTGTCCTGTTCTGGCTCAAACAAACTCTGCGTCAACTGAGAACCTGAGGCTGTGTTTACTGGGCTGACAGTTTCAGTGGGAATCTCTTCAGTAACATACAATCCCACTCTCTTGGGGTGAGGTCTGATCCCCATCACCACAGAAGAAGGGGCTGTTTGATATAGCATAATCCTCTTGCCCTTGGGTGGCAGTGTTAACCGGTGGAACTACCCGCTGCAAGCCACCTCTGCAAGGCAGAACATCTCCAAAGAAAGCCTCAAACCCATCTCCAGCTAGTAGTAAGGCCTGAAGGCATCCAGGGGACTGCTGTAGGAATGGCTTGGGCGATGCCCACCACACTGGCCATGCTGAACCATCGTGTTCACTGCCACCCCCACCTCCTTGAGGCCCCCAGCGGGGAGGGGGAGGTAGCCGGGCAATCCTCACAGTCACAGGTTGCCCTTCAATACTTTGATTCATGCATCGTCCCAATGGCAGCTTTTCCTCCCAAACTGAAACGCTGGTCACAGCTTATCCCTGCCAAGCCCTCCCCGTAGAGCTGTTTTTACATTCTGTCTGTCCCTCCCCTCCCCAAACTCGCCGTATGTATTTTAAGGGGGGAAGTGGCAAGATATTCCCTCACTGCTCCCATTTGACTTGTGCTTTTTGAATTTGATTCTCTGCACTTGACAATTAAATACAAGAGGTTACAGGGCTGGCAGTTTCAGTGGGAATCTCTTCATTAACATATGATCCTGCTCTCTTGGGGTGAGGATCGATTCCCGTCAGCACAACAGAGGGTGCTATGTGATCTGGCGAAAGCCAGTTGCCCTTGGGTGGCAGTGTTAACTGGTGGGACTACCCGCTGCAGACCACCCCTGCAAGGTAGAACAGCTCCAAAGAAAGTACTCAAACCTATTTTCACTGAATAAAAAGGCCTGAAGGCATCCAGGGGACCCCTGTCGGAATGGTTAGATGTGCCTTTGGCCTCATCCAGCAAGGTTGTTCTCAGGTAACCCCCCCTCCCTCCTTTGGCTTCTTTGGTACAGAGAGAGAGAGAGAGAAAGAGACAGATAGAGAGAGCGTTTTCCTGTGTGGGCAAGGAAAGAACTCCAAGGAAGAGCAAAAATTCTTCTGGACAGAAGGACGGAAACATGATCAAGATCAAAGACCAGAATCCTAACCAGGATAAGGGGGATGGATCCCTTACAGATCACAGTCAGAGCTGATGGACATAATCCCATCTCAGGGAAGGGCATGTTGAAAAGGCTGGAAACTGAGAAATTGGGATCTGGTCCCTTCCAGAGTCTTTGAGGGCCTCTCAGCCCCGCCTCAGCCCCAGGCCAGGACACCCTCTCTGGCCACAACACTGGACATGCTGAACCATCGTTTTCACTGCCACCCCCACCTCCTTGACGCCCCTAGTGGGGGGAGCGTAGCCGGGCAGTCTTCACAACCACATGTTGCCCTTCAATATGTTGATTCATGCATCATCCCAATGGCAGCAAGTTGCATCTTGGGCACGTATGAAACATCCTTACCCAGAGAGGCCACGCTCCCGTAGTTCTCCCGCATGACGTCCCTGTAGAGAGCTCTTTGGCCAGGATCCAGCAAGGCCCACTCGGCCTCGGAGAAACACACGGCCACCTCCTCAAAGGAAAAGGGAGGCTGAAATGAGAAGCAGATTCCCTCGTCAGAGATCACTCCAGGCAGAGACTACACTCTCCACAGGGTCATTCTGCAAGGGTGCAGGATGTAGAGTTTGGCATGCGTCAAGAGAGAGGGGCTCAGAGCCTGTCTCTCCTTGGTCAGCAGGACCAAAAGCCTCCTTGAGAAAGAAGTGGGGACCTGACTATCCCCCAATCTCCCCCCCCCACCTGTACCAGAGGTGGAGCAGCCGTTTCCACTCCTCTGAAAGGATGACAGGTTGACAACATCTCTTCACTGCCTGCAAGGGAGACAAATTCGGAAGGATGAATGTTAACCTCAAGTTCCTCTTGTGTTTGCTTCTTTGAATTCTGCATCACCCATCCCCAGGGTTGTGACACCTTGTCTCCTTTACACTCAAGAAAATTTGTAATGACTTTTAGAAAGGTGTTGGAGAGGTGGAAGAGAAGCATCAGTTAACCTTGAGCCCCGAGGTGTTATAAATGCTGCCAACATTTCTGTGAGGCTAGAAATGTGCCCTGTGAACCCTTTAGCTCCAAAGGCTGCAGCATCCCTGCTGGATCCGACCAAAAACCCAGGAACCCCATTCTCCCAACTGCTGGGCCCTCCCACCCATCCTGGAGTCTGGGCTGGCATGAGAAAAAGAGGGGACCGTAAATCACGTTGCATGACATGTCACCATCACATCCCCCCCCCCAACCCAGATGTGATTTTAGTGCATCAGCCAATGCTCTGGAAACTACGAGGTACTACCAATGGGTTTCCAGTGCATCTGCTGATGCTCTGACTTCACATCCAGGTATTAGGCCCATTGAGACATTGACATGACGTCATCTTCACCCCATGCTCCACCCTCCAACCTCATGGAGGTCCCCAGCCACGGCCTGGCATCCCGAGTCCAGTATCTTCTCTCTCACTGTGGCCTGCCAGATGCCCCTGGGAAGCCTTTAAGCAGGGGCACAGAACCCACATTATTCCCCCCGGGGAATGGCATTTCAGAGGTATGGTGCCACAGAATATTGGGGACCCTCTAATGGAAGGAAGGGGAGAGAGGCACATTTTAATTACTGTAAATAAGAATGGAATTGCCCTCCATATATCTGTCTACTCCCCTATAAGGTAAAGTGGCCACCGTGACATCCTATGGCACTCTGTGTCCCAGAACTCCATTCTATGTAGTCTGCAACAGCATTTCCCTTTTCTCCTCTTCTGAACCTCTTGCCCAACAATTTGACTAGGTGCCCCGATCCCATCCGGGCAGGAGGCACCCTTACCACTTGACAGGGCATCCTCCTGGGTGTGCACCCTCTGACTTTCCTCTGACAGAGCTCCTTCTTCCTCAGAGAGCTTCGCTTCCATCTTCACAGGTTGTCCCCACATCTGAAACAACAGGAAGGGGGACAGGTAAGAGAAGGAATGGAACAGGCTGAGGAGACGGATCCCGCCCCACTCCCAGTCTCCTCATCTCTGCATCCACCCATCAGAGCTGCTTGAACTACAGGGGTAAGAATCCGGGGTGGGTTTTCTTCCCAGCCTAGTGAAATATCTAGAGGTAGAGATATCAAAGAAAAGATGGGAACAGTACACTGAGGAATTATACAAAGGAGATGAAAGGATGACAGATTCCTTTCCAGAAGAATATTTCGAAGACAAACCAACAGTT